GTTTGAGCCCACCCTGGACAATTTAGGGATTGAGTAAGACTCTGTCTCAAAATGTTAAACAGTTCTGGGAGTGCAACTGGGTTCAATGCCCACTACCCCCCACACACACACAGAGCCTGGAAAAAAGTGTGATTTTAACATGTTCATGTAGAATGTATGTCAAACACCCCTCATTGAAGGCATTTTTAGGATCGCCAAGTGTATCAAATTGTATATTTCACCAGTGTGTCAAAAGCTAATTGTCATTCACCAAGCCATCCACATGATAGCCCTTCACAGGATCACTGATATGCTTCACATCCTTGTGTTACTTCTAATTCACATAGAGATGAATGGCTAGTAAACCACTATCAACACCACGGGAATCCTACAAGGTAAGTGCCAATAATATTCCAACTGTACAAATTAAGATACAGATGTTCAGAAAAGTAAATTACATGCCCCCCAGTTAGGACTGCTTTCCAGTGCTGGATTCTTTTAGCAGACTAGTGAAACCTTGGTCAACCTAGTGGGTTAAAACATCCCTATGCTATGCTATGCTATTTTGGGGTGGGATTGAGTTGAGACAGTGTCTCATTATGTACTTCAGGCTGTCCTTGAACTCAATATGTAGCCCAGGCTGGCCTTGAAATTATGATGATCTTCCTGACAGCTTCGTGCATGCTGGGGTTATGGTTGTGAACCAGCACACCCAAATTCCAGTTTTTTAAAAAATATAATTCTTTAAAAAGTTGGAATAAGAAATAGAAGAGGCAGAATCTTACTATCTGTCAAAGTCAACATACAAGAAAGCAAACACAGTGCTGATGAGATAGCTCAGCGGACTAAGCACCTGCTTACATCAGCACGGGGACTGGGGTTCTATCCCCAGCATGTGCACTGAGCTGGCCACCAAGACTGGACATGGGTGCTGGTGAGATGGCTCAGTGGTCTAAAGCACCTACTTAGAACAAGCTAAACTAAGCAAAACACAGGGACTGCGGTTCAATCCCCCAGCACCAC